TGTAACACGCTTGCATACTCATAACACCATCATGATTTCTAATTCTTTTCATTTCATTTTTTATTTTTCATTTTTGTTGGGGAAAAAGAAGCACGATGTAGATAGTGAGATACCAAAAATAGAGAGAAAAAAAAAAAGAAAAATTCAATATTTAACATTAGAACAATTCTCCAGAAGTGGCATATGAATTTATATATATATTCTCAACCACATATATATACACACATGACAGAATTACAAGGCTTATTCAGTTCATCTGTTCAAGATTATATTCTTTCTACACAAATTTATGAAATATCCCATCATAGGAGAAAAAAACTGAACGAGTTTTGTCAAGGAAAGGTTACTCTTCTGCTAAAGCTAGGTGATGAGTTTAATATTTCCTGTCCGATCTCATTTATCTTGTTGAGAAGAAGCTCCTGCTCCATCTCTAGCTGAACCATGTAGTCTTCTTGAGTTTCATGCAAATTTTCGAGCTCACTTAATGACTTCGAAACTCCTTCAAGATCATCATTGTCTACCAGAGACTGAAGCTTGATCATCATTTGCTTCACCTGATAAATCCAAAATATCGAATACAAGTTATGGTATTAGAAATGAAAACTTAATCAAAATTTACTAAGGGCTCGTTTGGGATAGTTGATGCTTATAAATTATGTAGAAGAGTTTCATGAGAAAGTCATATTGAGTAGCTTTCTCTAAAATTCCTTCTAATCAGTAAACGTAATTCAAGAAAATCATTTATACAAACTCAAAAATAGCTTTTGGCTTTTCAAAAGTAATGCCAAACCGGCCATAAGATATGGCGATGGTAGTCACCTGATCAGAAATTTGACGGTGCATTTTAGCTGGAGATAGTTCCGAGCCTGAGCTAGGTTTCTTCTCCAATTCTGGTTTTTTCCGCGTAATTTGAATATGGATCTCGCCCTGTTTTACTCCTTGAAGTGGTATCCATTTGTCAGCCATTTCATTCGGAGGCAACATCTGGTATTCTACTACACAATCTCCAATATTTGATGCAGGCAACAAAGCATTATGATCCTTTACATGCAACTCCAAGGGACTACCATCATCAGGAAATTCCAAGGTCTGATGCCATTTTGGATTCAGAGTTTTATACATAATCTGCAAGGACGTGACAAAATAAGTCAATGACAAAAGAAGTGACAAACTATAAGAGAGAATAGGCCTTAGTTATGCTCGTCTAACCTTAGTACTTCTCTTCAAGTCTCCATAGTTTACTCTCACATATGGATCACTTGTTCCTCCGAGATCAGCAGCAACAAGATCTCTCGCTTCAATTAGAACAAGTTCAATCCAACCATCACCTGAACTTGCATGAGAATTCTGGAGAGTGCCAAATCACACAAATAATCATATAAAGATTTCACTAGCTTGCTATTGGATGGTGAACGGAATTAAATCACTATGGAATCTTCCTATCAGTCGAAGCTCAGGGCTTGGCTAAGTTTTAGAAACAAAAGTTTCTACTTATTTTTAAGCTTACCCAAACACGCTTACGCCAAACCACAATAAACATTTGGAAATTTACACTTCAAAATAAGCATACCTTACTTCCTTCATAATCCTGAACTCTCACTGCTTCTATTTGAAGCCGCAGCTCTCCAGAACTCACTTTTTCAAGGGGAATACTAACATCTCTTTTCAAACCTTCTATAAGACCTTCCAAATTGACTCGTGCACTACCAACGCTCTCATCTCCAAATGTTTCCTCTTGGTGACACTTTATCTTCAAATATTCACCTCCTCCTATTTCATCAAATTCAAACTTCCTATTCCAGACTGGATTTGAAGTATATGAGACGGTTTTGGTTCTTTTGGAAGCCTGTGAATGAACATATACATCAATGGAGTCAAAGTAGTTTGATTAAGTACATACATAGTAGTGATTCAGTATATCTAGATACGACAAATATGACCTTGTTGTACTACATTAACAGGTCTCACCAACAGATTTTCAAATTAAAATATTGGACCAAAGTTTCATTCGATTAGAAATGATGAATGAAAAGTTTAGATGACAGTAAGATGCACAGAAATGAATAAAATGAGATCTATACCTTCCCATAATACAATTTAACATAAGGGCCAGATTTCCCAATTTTGTCCTTCACAATAAGGTCCTTCCCTTCAACCACAGTTACACAAATTTTCCTTCCAGTTTTTGAGAGAGAGATTGATGCCTCGTCTAGTGAATTCTGAGTGCTCAGATTGAAACTAGTCAAGCTATGTGAACCATCCGCAAAATGCCACTCTTTCAATACAACCTTCACTGTCAACTGCAACGAAGTTTTGATCAAAGAGGTTTATTTATCAGCAAAAAGTTCAAAAATTCTTGCTGTTATTAATTCTTATTCTGATTTATTGGTCCTGCATCACAAAGCAAGGAGATTGATGGTTGTGTGGTGATCATAGAAGTTGCAGATTTGTTCATTGCATCAGAGAATATTGTTTTGGAGTACAATGAAAAGAGGGGCCTGCCAGGTGGGGAGTGAGGGTTGGATGTTTGATGTGCAAAAACATCAATTAGCACCATATGCCGTGTCCACCAATAACAATGGGTGGATTTGGACAGACATTGCCCTATTAAGACATCCAAACATCAATTTCTTAATTTACTGCAGGAAAGGAGTTTCAGAATGACTGGATGGTCTAAAATCAGATGCCTTAAAATATTATATAGATAAAGATAATGGACATATAGATTTCTATAGCCATAGTAGTTAGTGATCCACAAGAAAATGGAGTAAAACATACCTCGCCTAAATTAACACCCTCAAATGGAACAGTCATTTCAGTTTCTTTTCCACATAACTCAGCACGCTCAGCAATCACGGTGGAATCAGGTCCCATCGCCCAAAATATGGTTGAGTCATCCGGAGAATATCTCATCTGTATTGATTAGGTGGAAGAGGTAATGATAGAAAATTTCGAAACAAGCTAATACAACATCAAATGCTGAGAACCTAATATTCCTCAGCAAAACAATCTGCGATGTGCTGTCTCTAAGGATTGAGGAAACATGAATTACAACATAAAATTTTGCGTTTTTTGCATGATATTGAACAGAGTTTTGTATAATTCTTTTTAATAACTGAAACTTTTCTTGTCAAACTATGATGTACTCTCTAAGGATTGAGGAAACATGAATTACAACATAAAATTGTTCATTTTTTGCATGATATTGAACAGAGTTTTGTATAATCCTTTTTTAATAATTGAAACGTTTCTTGTCAAAATTGTATCAAACTGAAACCATCAAAACTCAAACTTTCTAAATCACATTGCAAAACATCAAATTGGATACAACTGACAATAAAAGACTATACCTTAATTTCACAGCTTGTAAGGTAGTCATATTTCACACTGCCAGGAGTGCATTCATAAAGATGGAATCTAAGAATTCCTGCATTGTCATGTAAGATCATATTGAATGTTGAGTTCCAATTAGGATTAGATCCTGTTCTAACATTTGTTCTCCTCGTTAATTCTTCAAGTTCAATCTCCACAAATGTCTGCAGCTCTTTGTTTTCAAGTTGATCCTCTTCCTTAGAATCTATTGCCGAACACTTGTGTATTCTGGAGGGGCTGCCCTTCGAACTACTAAAAATTTTTCTAGCAGAGAGAACTGTGATACATAGTACACCACCTACAGCTTTCTTCCGCAAGTCTGAGGCTGGCAAAGCGAGACACTGGCGATGAGGTTCAACCATTCTCTTACTTAATGTATCAGTGGCAAGTTTAACCTGTGAAACAATATAAATGAAAATGGTGAATGAATATTATGAAGCACACATACACGAAAAGAAGGGAGTATAAGGAACTCCAGGATTAGTTAGATTCTAACAAGTTTTAGCACATTCAAACTACATTTCCTATTTTGTACTAGATAGCTGTTCAAATTATTAGGGGTAGAATCCATGGTCCATTAATTTTGGGCACTGTTTATCCATTCCCAAAACAGCCCTCAAAACTCACTTTAGCCACTTCCTGGAAAAATCATCCCCAGTCACTGCCAAATTTAGTCAGGAAATGAAGCTCACGAAAAGGAATTTTTTTCCTCATGGTTGAGAAACATGTTTGGATTTAACTTTTGGAGAGAAGATGATGATATTTTTCCTCTCATTCACTTTCATTATATAGAGAAATCAAGAGTAGTACACGTAAGGAAATAACTACCAATATGGAAACAAAATAAACTCAATTATACTTTCTCCTAATCTATGTCATTCTAATCTGGGGCGGATCAAACACCTGGCGAGCCCCCGTGGCTGCCCGTGCTAGATCCGTCGAGAGCCTTTTTTTAAGTTGGCGAGAGCCTTTTTTTTGGTTGGCAATAGATTAAAGATTAGTTTATATTACTAGTAATTCATTTTATTCACATTCCTCCTGTGGTTCACTTGGTTAGAGCTTGAATTTACAAAGTGCAGGTCCAGGGTTCGAGCTCTTTACCAACAAATTCATTGTGTAATACTTTAATTCTACAATTTTTGCCAAAATTCAATGTGGAAGGAGACCGAACAGGATTCGAACTTGTGACCTTTTGTTAGAGGCATTGTAATCTTAATTGTTTTGGCATCCCTTGAGTGTTGACAATAAATTTAACAAAATAATATTTGTTAGGTTTTATCAATTTTAATACAAGTGTAATTGTAAAGATTTGAATCCGTGCTCTTTCTTTAAATTATACAAAACTTAGCAATAATGTCATTTGATTAATCCAATTTATTCTTATAACAGAATTATATATGTTCAGTTTGAACAAAATAATTGTTAATATTTAAACTTTAGGCCTTGTTTGATTCCTTTTTTTTTTTCAAAATACATTTTTCTCTCTTCTTTTCAACTACACATTTTTCAATAAAATAATATTACACACAGATTCAAAACTTTTTATTTTTTTTATTTTTAACCACACATTCTCCATCAAACCACTATTCCAAATATTTTTTTTACAAAAAATGGGTATTAAATGAGCTCTTAATATTTTATTGTGGTCGACGGTCGTGCTGACTTAAACTCCTGGATTCGCCTCTGATTCTAATATACTTATTTCCTTAACACTCTCTCAAACTAGAGCATATATATCATATAAGCCTAGCTTTGAACAAAGAAACCTCAATCGATTTCTATTCACCGACTTTGTAAACATATCATCAAGCTAATCCCCTATATTTACAAATGATGTACATATATCACCACTTACTATCTTGTCTCGAACAAAGTGACAATCAACTTCAATGTATTTAATTCTTTTATGGAAGACTGATTGGATGCAGTATGTAGAGCAGCTTGATTATCACAAAAAATTGGAATAGGGGCAGGAGGTGAAAGATTAATTTTTTGAAAAATGTTGCAACCATGTCAACTCACTTTTAATATGAGTAATTGCCCTATATTCTATATTCTACTTCTGTACTTGACCTTGTTAGCACACTTGTTTCTTACTTTTCCAAAAGATAGGATTACCACCAAGGAAAGGGCAGAAACGTGTAGTGGATTGTCTATTTGATAGAGATCCTATCCAATCTGCATTTGTAAGCCTTTTATTCTGATATGTCCATTAAGTTTATACAATAATTCAAGGCCCGGAGCATTTTTTAAATACCGAAGAATACGTATCACTGCTTCTCAATGAGAAACCCAAGTAGCATCCAATAATTGACTAATGATAATAACTGCATAGAAAATAATTGGTCATGTGATGGTAAGATAATTCACTTTTCTAACCAAACGATGATACTTTCTTGGTTCCCCATAGATTTCTCTTTCATCATTTAAAAGCTTCACATTAGGATCCATGGCAATATCAACTGGACGAGTTCCAAGAAAACCCATCTCATCTAAGAGATCAAATACATACTTTCTCTAAGATAAGTTGATACATGCTCGAGACCTAGCGATTTTAATACTCAAGAAATATTGGAGCTTACCTAAATCTTTAGTCTGAAAGTGTTTTTGTAGAAACTGTTTCAATTGGCAATCTCATCTGCATCATCATCAATGATTACATATATCATTTATACAAACTATAAGGATGATAACATAGCCTATACCAGTTTGTAGATGACATAAATGATCTGTTTGATACCTTTGAAGACCAAATTCTATGACAACCTCAAAAAACTTCTCTAACCATGCCTTTGGAAGTTGCTTTAACTCATATAAAGCCTTTTTTCAACTTGCACTTCTAGTACACCCCTCGAGCAACAAACCCAGTTGGTTGCTCCATATAAACTTCTTCATGTAAGTCACTGTGAAGAAATGCATTTTTAATATCCAATTGAAATGGTGGCCAACCAAGGTTAGTAGTAATAGATATCAAAACGCGAATAGGATAGATCTTATCTACGGGAGTATGTTTCATCATAATCAATAACAAATCGGGCTTTCAATTGATCAATAGTCCCATAGGATTAAACTTCGGAACAAAGACCCACCTGTTACCAACAGGACGTATTCCAGGTGGTGAAGAAACGGGATCCCAAGTCTTATTCTCATGTAAAGCTGCCACCTCTAATTCCATAGCCTTCCGTCACTCAAGATCAGATAAAGTTTCTGTCACTATCTTAGGAACAAAAACACTAGAAAGCTAGAATGTGAAACATGAAAATGAAGGCGACAACGAATTAGAAGTGACATAATGATTGATAAGATGTTTAGTTACATAACTACGTTTATCTTTACGAAGAGCAATGACTCAAGATCAGAACAGATAACAGATGCATGATCTGCAGACAGCAATGTGACGAATTAGGTCACAAGCTTTGATGGCTTAGATCGTCGAGTATAAACTCGTAGAGGGTGAGGTGGTTCCTTATGAGAGGACGACAGTTCTAGTGCTATAGACGAAGACAGGTCTAGTTCCAAAGAAATACCAACTGGCAGATATGGATGGGTAAGTGTAAGGGATCTCGATTGGAGTCAAGAAATGTTTTATGATTAGAGAAATAAGATGTGGACTCATTGAAAATGACATCCACATTTACAAAATAGCGATATAGAGGACTATAGTATCAATACTTCTTTTGTGTTTAAGAATAACCAAGGAAAATACATTTCATGGAGCGAGAAGCAAGCTTGTCATGACCAGGATCAAAGAAATGAATATAACACACTCAAAAAACATTGAAAGGTAATGAGTACTATGGAGAGGAGGAAAACAGAAGAGAGAAGGGTGATACTTTGACCAAAACAAAGAATGGCATGTGATTAATGAGATAGCATGCACTAAGGACATCATCACTCAAAAAACGTTCAACGACAAGCATATGACAAAGAAGAGCACGAGTAACTTTTAACAAATGACGATTTTTGTGCTCTGCAACTCCATTTTATTGTGGAGTATATGCACAAGACTTTTGATGAAAAATGCCTTTGGAAGAGAAAAAGGACGCAGAAGTAGCATGCATATATTCTTTGGCATTATCAAATCGCAAAATACAAATTTTCTGATTAATTTGATTTTTAATCAGAGTCCTAAAACCTTGAAAGATAGAGGTAACTTAGAATGATTTTTCATTAAGAACAACTAAGTCATACGAGAATAATCATCAACAAAAGTAACAAAATATTGAAATTTATTAGATTAAATATTGATTGGCCCCTATAAATCAAAATGAACAATTTCAAATAAACTAGAAGCATAACTAACAGTTCTTAAAGGAATAGACACAAGATGATGTTTGCTAAATTGACACGCTTAACATTCAAGAGAGGACACATTAAGAAGACTCGTGACTTGATGTTTTAAAATGAAAAGAGAATGATGACCAAGACAACAATGTCAGTGTATCGGTGAAATAGAAAATTGGAGAGCTTGAGGAGAGAAAACTAGTGAAAGATCCAAGTAATCCAATTCACCAATTTTATGCCCCATACCAATCATCCACTTTGTCTTAAGATCCTAAAAAATGCACAAGGAATGATAAAATGTTACTGAACATTGAAGAGGTGTGGTAATTCTACTAATAGACAATAAACTAAAGGAAAAGCCTGGAACATGAAGGATGGCTGACATATCAAGATTAGGACTAAGATGGGCATTACCCGAGCCTGCAACACTGGCTCGGGATTCGTTAGCAAGAGTGATATATTTGGAAGAAATAACAGGATTATAATCAAGAAGAGAAGTAGCCGAACCAGTCATGTTCAGTTGCTCCAAAATCAATAACCTAATGACTGTGAGAAGATGACAATAGACAGTGAGAAGATGTAGTACGTGACTTAGCGAGATTGGCCATAGAAGTGGAAGTGGCATGTTTATGAGCTAAAAACTCAGCATACTCATCCTATGATATAGACAAGAAATCAAATTCTGGTTTTGAATTAAAGTTAGCCACTGGTACAGATACTGGGTGATGATCCTCAGTAGATAATACCTGATTGGTAGAGCCAGATGGTTTGCCATGTGACTTCCAACAATAATCAACAAAGTAACCTATATACTACAATAAGTACATTTTCGAGGTTCAAGAGTTACGAACAACTACTGCCTCTAGTGTCTCGTCCATCCTAAGAGCTAACACCATGTCCACTAACGACTATTTTGTCCACTTGGAACGAGCCACCCCGAACAATAAAAGTAGAATGATCTCCACGAGGTATATTATCTAAGAGAGTAGAGTGCTGAATATGAAAGAATATCTCTGCAAGACTGGGAAGCTCTTTTCCACCTAATATCTATACCAAGACAATTTCAAACTCTGGCGAAAACCAATAAGAAATTTAACAACATTGATATCTTCCCGCTATTTTTCCATAACCTTCAAGTCAATAGAGAGGAGTATGTTCCTCTCTTGACACATAGCCAAAAACTTAATATAATATTCAACGAGGCTGGAGGATCCTTTTTGAAGCCCAAAGTATTGTTTACATGTCTCATATTTCGAGTAATATTTCCAATTCCAGAATGCATATGCTTGAGATGCTTCCAAATTTGCTTAGCCGTAAATATATAGAGGAATAAAGACCCGATATGATACTCGATATTACTGATCATAAGTCCAATGATTGTGTTATCCTCTTGATCCCACCGATCATTGAGAGTGGAATCAGCCTCTGTAGAATCACTTTTTGAGGACTTGGCAAACAGCTTGTCTAAAATCAAGTGATTAAATAAACCCTTATCTAGCAAGAAGACTTCAACACATCTAGCCCAAGTGTAATTTCTTTCATTCAATTTTCCAGATACTACGGGTCCAGTCAGATTGAACATCTCCATCTTAAATGACATGATACTATTTGTACAAACTAACTACCAAGTGATCAGCCCAACAATAAAACAAAAAAATAATTTAACAAACATGAACGGGCACAAATCAAAGGAGCCAAATACCAACAATCCAATAATAAAATAAATAGGGATTAAATCAACATCAATGGCCTAAAATTAAAGCAGCCCAAACAATAAATCAACAATCCAATAAGTAATCCATCCAAGTACTATCAATTGATCAACAGCACAAATACCATCAATAAATCAACAACCCAAAATACCAAAGTATGACTGCCGTGACTCCCTATTTCAATTACAACAATCGTGACTCAATTCCGGATGCAATTCGCTACTTTGTGACTACCGTTTCTCACAACTCCTAAGATCCCACGTCAAACCACGGCATAACCACCAGGTAAACTACAACCGACACACGCACAATCAAACCATGGAACCAACAAACCAACGCGAGCAAGGTCTACCATCAACGCACCAGAGAACTACACAATCCAAAAAAATGGAAATCCAACACCGACTACCAACAGTTACAGAAAAGGGGATGCAAGAAGGGAAAAAATGAGAGGCGAGCTTGTGAAGAAGAAGAGCAACGGATGAGGCTACTAAACCGAAGGTTGTTTTGATACCATGTTGAGAAATAGGTTTGGATTTAACTTTTGGAGAGAAGAAGATGATATTCTTCCTCTCATTCACTTTCATTATATAGAAAAATCAAGAGCAGCAAAATAAACTCAATTATATTTTCTCCTAATCTATGTTATTCTAATATACTTATTTCCTTAACACTCATGTTAATTACTCTTTTCCCCTTACGAAAAACAGGAAAGAACATACTAGTTCTACTATTGAGGTGGCAAATGTAGGCCTCAAAAATGAGACAATTTTCAAAAGGATTTCAAGATCATCTTTTATAGATTAATTATACAGCTGATTATTCATCAACTCTCCCATGTCAATGATTTCTAACTATAATGTGAGAAAACAATATACTTGAATCAAAATAGAAACAAGAAATGTTTATTGCTACTTAAAAGTAAATATTGTGTTTTATAAAATGAAGACCATTACCAGCCATGAAGAAACGCCCGGCAGTTCCGTCGCAGGTAAAGATTGGCTTCCACCGCTCCCGAAAGCAACACCAATTCTCACCTCTGGAGTCGATAAAAATGAGTACAGAATAGCTTTTCCATCTAGAATTGGCATCAAAAGAAGCTGCAAAAAATTTGAAATTACTATTTCACAAAATGACAATTTCATTTTCGAAGTTATGAAAATGGATATAAACAAGATGCAACATGTCAGAAGTACTCGAAACTCAAAAATGTGATGAATAAATAGAACACATAAGTACAGAGAATAGCACCCTATTAGTTAAGCAAGTTGAAGAATAAAGCAATGACTAATCTTTTGTTTTTCTGCGCGAACTTATCTTTAAGTTTCCATTTGGATAAAAATTAATAAAAGGTTTATAAATTTAGTCAAAGTCAAACACTAATTTCAATCACACATTCATAACTACTACTCATTATTATCCACATATTTTGTGGGATCCACAGCTATTCCTCTTTATAAACCAATTATACCAACTATAAATTTGTCAACCAAGGGCTAATAAACAAGGCGTGCAGGGAAATCTTTTAGTTTCAATATATATCATCTAAAGCTCAATAAATAGCACAAATAGTCCACCACAGATAGTGAGAAGCGAATAACATTTTAAAAGGGGGAGCAATCTAGTAACGCACTGATGTCTAGGGAAACAATGTAATTATTGGTGGTAGAAGTTGAATTTGACCGAACATTCAAAACAAAGAAAAGAAGGAATCGATCATAGGTAGTACTTTCCCTATGCTGCCAAGGATTCTTAATGCTAGATTTTCCAAATTTTAGTCATCAATATGAAGTACGTACACTTCCATGCTGAGTGGAGCTAAGCAATTCAACAGTGAGCAACAACTAAATTGATAAACAAAATGCATATACCATCAATCTGATGCCCCAAATATAAATATAGCCACTGTTTGGCGCTCCATTAATTTTTATTCCATTACATTTCATTTTTATCTATTTTTTCAACCACACAATCCTTCATAAAATAATATTACATGTAAAATGAAAACTTTTTTTTCTTTTCCAACCACTCATTTTTCAAAATAACACTATTCCACCTATTTTCATTTCCACAAAATGGGGGCCAAACAGGGCATAATTGTATTAAAATAATTAACATGAAGTATTGAAGAGAGATGACACTTTCCCCAACATTAGTCCGAGAAACGATGTGAAAATAAGATAAAATAAGGTACATACATCACCCTTGACGTGGATGCTATTGATGACAATCCGAGCTGTTCCCGATAATGGTTTTGACATCTTAGCAGACAACATGATATTTATTTCAGTTGTGTCCCAATCAAAACCTAAATGCATAATTCGCTGTATTCATACGAAGTGTTAGTTTAAATTTTCACCATGGAAATAAAATAACGGGACAAGGGATCTAAGGATCATATATGCACAAGAAATGCAACAAATATTAACATAGTATGAAATAAACTAAAGAATCGACAGTAGAAATGAGAAAAAAAAAACATTGATTCTCTGATATCACAATGAATAAGAGTGAATAATAAAATTTTTGCAGTCACCATCGCCTCATTTAACCTAAGTATAATCTTCCTTCCAATAGATATTTAACATCCAAGGGGGGAAGTGAATAGCTAATCGCTGATATGCAAATACCCAACTTGTGAAAGTTAAAAGGGAATAAATTACAAATTCTACCTTGAGTTTGCACTTGTAAACTAAAATGTTGTACCTTAATCCGAAATTTACATTGTATCCAATCTTTATTATGAGGTGATTCATATTTCTCGCTTTCTGTATTTAATTATTTATTAAAATATCGTATCCATTTCATGATTGACATAGAAGATATATAGTACAAAGGTATAGTCACTTCACTAGATCAACTTCTTCTTTCAGATATGTCTGAATCTCCGAAAACATATCTTGTCCATGATATATATGCGAAAATGGAATAATGTCTATCAGGCACTGTTCAGATAAAAAAGTACTATTCTTACTTTTTCTTTCCAAAATTGAATATGTTGTTCAACTTGAAGAATGTGAACTAAAGATACATATCAAATTACAAATAACACAGAAATGAGACCTGATTGCCCGAAGTTGCCCACCGGATTCCATGATGTCCTAATATAGGAGGACGTGAACCTAGTGAAAATCCTTGTAACTCAATCTTCTCCTATATTGGCATTT